GTAATCTTTGTATTATGCCACTCGAAACGTATTTCCAGGAAGATGTCACGACAGGATAAACCACCAGTTTCTCTATTTTAAGCTATAATGTATACTTGTCTGTGTATATTCTTACCTCACTATATACATCGTCTTATTGTATTCATCTTTCTACTACGCGGCTTCGCGTGTGTATACTGTTGTGCTTCGGTTCTGCAACATACATATAACCCATCCCATCACTTCACACGTCATAGTTGACGTACACCGTCACTCAAGAGGTTGAGAGCGCTCGAAATTTAACATCTTCTATTCTGCTTTCCACCTTTCTTCAGAAAAGGATGAACTGGTGCCGCCACAAGGTGCAGCCAGTAGATGTAAGAAAACCGACCAGACTTTGATAGGATTGAACATACGTGTTTTTACAGTTAAATTTATTATGTCTATGAGGTGAGAATAAAAAACGAATTTTATTTTAGTCATTATTTAATAATACCTTTTAAAATTCACTTTAAACCTTACAGAAACTTTTTTATAAATATTTACACATAGAAAGAAATTTTCTGTAAAAATTACCGTGAAAATCATAGTAATCGTGCGATATTCCGCAATTCTAGATCGATTCTAAATTAATTGCAAGTTTAATAATCGCTGGTTTATTTATAAAAATTTATAAATTAACCAGGTGAGTTACAAACAGCTTACGAAAAAAACGAAATTCAGAAACAATATTTAATATGCCATGTAACATTTCACCGAAATAAATAAAAATAAACTAATAAGAGGAGAACATTCGCCTGGTCACGCGCAATAGAATCTTAAGGATCCTAGAGATCCGGAGACAAACATAATCATTTTCTACCAAAACTCTGGAGGAATTAACACAAAATTTGATAAAATTGCTGACTTTATTATGCTAATTAATGCCGACATTATTGCCATGACAGAGACTTGGCTCACACCTGACAAATTATCTTCAGACTTTTTGGACTTAAATATCTTCACTGTCTTCAATGCCGATAGAATTTCCAACCCAAAGCGAAAAAGTGGCGGCGATCTACTTGCTATCAAACTACATATCTCAGCAATACAAATTCCTCTAAACCATCTTACAAACAAATACGAAGATGTGGATGCAATATGTATAAGAATCACATCATCTGGTAAACCATCACTTATATTGGTTATCGTCTACATTGCCCTGGACATCGGTCGACATCTATTTGATCAATTCTTCGATGCATTCAATAAATTTTATAACTTCGATAATAACCTGGATATCTGGCTGATTCACGATATAAGCACATTATGTACTAATATTCTTTCTGCGACTTATATGTAATACTGTTTAAGATAAGTTTAACGATGTGTTCTCAATTATTGTATTTTGTATTGAACTCTACTATGTCAATAATTATAATTATAATTTAAGGAACCTGTTGGATTTATAGGGATAATCGTGATAAATAAATAATTTAATTAAACGCAATATGTATATTATAGTTAAAATAATCTCTTTATTTAAGAGATCGTGTTGAAAGAAATTGGTCTTTACGTTTCAAAGGTTTTGCTTAGACTAACTTATATCTTAGTAACTATTTAATACTGAGGTCTAGTAACCTCTCCTTATTTTCCTTAAAGTAAACTTAAACTATATATAAAAAATTACTTTCAACTAAGACATAAATATATATGTATAGCTAGTACTTTAACGGGTAACAAAAAAGGTCCTCTTAACTGACCCAAGTTCCCAGAGTCATAAAATTCATTTCTTACAGGCTTACATAAACATCCTGCATGCACATGTTTGAAAACAAGGTTTTCCAAATATTACAAAATAGAGAGAAATACTCTCGCTTACACAAAGACTATTTTCACTAAAGAAATATTTTAAACTAAATTCATTTTTGAATCAGAGAATTCAACAGAACCCTCCCGAGTCAAAAAATTTAGTCTGTTTTATGATTAATAAAATTTTTTAATATTTTTCATTCAATTTAATTTTATTATGTGTATCTATTTTATATGAGAATTTAATCTGTTTTTGCCCGTATTATTCACAATTCAGACCAATTTCAGATCATTTTTAATGTTATAATAAAATTGTTTTCTATTGTTTCAAGACCAAAATCAGACTTTTTTCGTCACAATCATTTAGCTGGTTTTGATCGCATCAAGGTCAAAAACAGACCAAAACGTTCTATAATTTTTAGTCGGTTTTTCATCGCCTGTAGATCAAAAACCGACCTTTTACGAATTTGATAATAATAATAATATTAATAATAATAATAATATATTTATTTTCGTCCTAGGCGGACGTATGGGGGTTTTTACGCGCAGACGACACTCAATTTGTAAATAATATGCGTACGCGCCAGTATCTACTAGGCTGTATAGAATTTTATACAGTCAAGGGCAATGTCACGCAACCGTCACCAATCTCTATACAGCCGAGTAGCTTAAGTTTCAACTGTCATTTTAATTAAAAAGCGCACCTTTGACTAACTTCAAGACTTTCATGTATTTTTGTTTAGAGGATTAGAGGGTTATGGCGTCGTACGCTATTTATTTATAAATTGAGTATCCCCTGCACGTAGAAACCCGCATACGTCCGCATATATGCAAATATATATTTTCACATATATTTTTTTTGCGCTAAATATATATCCACATATATGCGTAGATATATGTGAACATATATGCGCGCATATAAATGTCTAGAGATTCACAGAAAAAAATTTAACTTGAATCAAGAAAATAATTTTGAAAAATTTAACTTTTTTGATTTGAGTAAAAAAATTCTCAAACTTAGAAATTTTTTTTTCAGTGTATGATTACATATATGTCTACATATATGTAAGCATGTATTTCTGCATATATGTCAGCATCTATGTGAAAAATATATGTTGACATATTTTTTTTTTGCGTATACTGAGAGAAAATTTTATTCAATAGTAATAAAATTTTATTACTATGTAATAAAACGTTTATTTGGCTAATAAAGAGGAAGGGGAAATAAACAAGGAGGTTAGGTTAGGATGTTTCGTTGAAACATCTTTATACTATTTATTTGTTAAAAGATTTTATTGTGAAAATATATTTGAATATATTATAATTAATTGATAAATATTAATTTTTTTTTTGAAATTATTTGTTTTAATGACTTAATATTCGTATTAAAAACACATATTAGTATTTAAGAAAATTTTATTAAATACTAATAAAATTTTATTCATAGGGAATATAATTTTATTACTATTAACTAAATTTTCTTTTCAAGTCCAAATAAACTTTTTTATTACTATTAAATAAAATTTTCTCTCAGTGTAAATATATGCGGCATATATATTATATATGCGGCATATATATTATATATGCGGCATATATATTATATATGCGGCATATATATTATATATGCGGCATATATATTATATATGCGGCATATATATTATATATGCGGCATATATATTATATATGCGGCATATATATTATATATGCGGCATATATATTATATATGCGGCATATATATTATATATGCGGCATATATATTATATATGCGGCATATATATTATATATGCGGCATATATATTATATATGCGGCATATATATTATATATGCGGCATATATATTATATATGCGGCATATATATTATATATGCGGCATATATATTATATATGCGGCATATATATTATATATGCGGCATATATATTATATATGCGGCATATATATTATATATGCGGCATATTGTAAATATATGCGGCATATATATTATATATGCGGCATATATATTATATATGCGACATATATTTTTTACATATATATTTCTCCATGCGGGTAGGACGAAAAATTTTTTAAGCACCATGGGCAAGCCACGCGCAAATACGGTCTCGGCGATAATTATTTGCAGCAGGGATATAAAGCCTCGGCCCTATCGGGCCTCGGCTTTATACTATCCCTGCTAAAAATACTTATCACCTCGACCGTATTGGCGCGTGACTCGCCCAAGGTACATAAATAACTATTATTATTATTTTATTCATGTCCTCGAAGATCCTCTACAGGGCACGGCTATTCATTCTCTGAAACTGAAATAGTGACCATTCACTATTTCGTAGTGCAATGTATACCAAACGGTACTCTTCGCACTACCAAATAGTGGATACCGCTCATTGAATGATGCGTGAAAGTATAAAATTTAACATTAATCTTGTCAACATTTTAATCTTGTCTCGATGTATTCACATTGTGTTTAATAACGATAATTAGAAAACTCTAGATTAAGATCCATAATCAAACGATGAGAACTATTTTATAAACGTATATTAATACAAATTTATTAGTTATCACTGCAACTAATATTCGCAGTTACAAAACTTTTATAATCCATGAAATGTTGAGCTATGACAAATAAATATGACAGATGTAAGGTTATAATCGACGTTCAGTTCATAAAACAAGAGAGCGCATGAATATATTATAAATTAATTTATTTTTACAAATAAATGCGACTTATAATTTTTAATGAAATACTTTTGAGTTAAAAAAATTATAAGTCGCCATCTTAGTCGACTTTTGGCTTTCGAACATTTAGAGTGAAAATTGTAGATCAAAAACAGTATAAGATTTCAGATTGAATTTGAAAACAATACGGAAAATCCATCTACAAATTAACTAGACTGAAAACCGATCAAACTTTTAAAACTTTTTAGTCTCATTAGATTAGAAACAGTATAAAATATTCATAGCTGCTCAATTATTTTACTAAAAAGTTATTTAGACTTAAAACAGATCAAAAATAATTTGAATAGTAGATCAAGTACAGATGAAAATGTTTTTAAAAGTTCAAATACAGATCAATAAGTTCAAATGCAGATCATTTAGCTTAAAATCAGTTTAAATTTATCGACCCGGGCTATTAATGCCTTTCCTGTTGGGTTCAGTGTTTCTTATACAATAAAAATAAAATAAAATAAATAAAAATAAGATACTGTTGTTTAAAAAAATATAAAAAAATGAAACTTCAGTTAACATATTATTTATTATTCAGATGATCATAATTTTAGAGAACAATAAGTGTTAAGTTTGTAGGCAAGTCGATTAAAAATTACAATTTTTTTGGGACCGATACTCTACTCGAAAGATTTACCAATGCACATAAGATTTAGTTAAATCTGTGATGTTTTATACGTGTATTGGCCCAAATTTCTATATTCTCTATGCATCTTAAGGTAGTACTTTCGTCTCCTGAAATAAAAAAATAATTTTTATTAAAGTGACCTGTGATATATCATATTATAATGATAATATTTGGAAATTGAGAAGATTAAAATGTGTACATCGAATACAGTTATTATGTAAAACTATTATACTAAAATTTCTAATTAAATAATTTTAGGAAAATTGAAAAAATTTACGTTTACTTCTGGAAACTTAAATTTAGCATTGGCAACCACTGCATAAATTGCCACGACAACAAGGAAAATCAATAAAATTTTCATGATGACTTTACTTCTGTGAAACGATTATAAGTTTATTACTTCGTTTGGAACTGATTACTGCGGACAAGAGCGAGCTGTTTTATACTGAAACTGTGGACTTAAAAGTAGGGGGAAAATATTATTATTATTATTAGTAGTAATAGTTTGCAATAGATCTATCATAACTAACGTAATTGCTAGTGACACGTTTTGTATTTTTATATCAATTTATTAATAACTTTTGAATTCTTAATTTTAATTTCCATAATTGGGTACACAGAGATTAACAAAAAACAGCAATGATTACTTTTTAGTACAGTACTTAGAAGTATTTTAAAAAGATGTTCACAGATGTTCAGCAGCCAGTAGTTTTAACATAACGCCCTGCACTGTTCCAAGCATTTTTAATCTCGTTTTTTTTTCAAAACACTTCTTAGTACTGTACAAATAGTAATCAGTACTGTTTTTTTTTCTCCGTATACGATCCTTTCAACGCATACAGAATCATGCCGAAAAATGAGCTGCATAAATATATAAATATAATTCTTAAAATTAGATAATCTGGCAGAGAATATGATCTATCTATAAAAATAAAATGTATCACTTGATATTTTTAAATATTTAGCTTTAAATATTTTGAGTAAAGAAACGGCATTTTTTTCCGATAAATTTTTATCGATTGCAATAAAAGTATGAGTCAAAAATTTTTCTGTGTATTGAGTGAGGAATGTAGCAATTTTACGTGATAATGGGATTTATTACCCGAATTATCAATGTCACCTTGAAGTTTCTGATAACGAAAAAACCGGATCATAGCTCTTGTGTAAGAATGAAAAAAAAAATTCTATCAATATTTTAAAATGTTAATATAAATTTAACATTAATTTTCAATATAAAAATTATCATTTTACGAAAGCTGGAAATTTTTTTGTTCATTAAATGAGTTTTTTAATTACAAATTAATTATAGTATATATGATATTGAGGAATGAACAAAACTACAATTGATCAAAAGAAAGTAATTAGCGAAAAAAGTTATAAAAATAACCCCAGACAAAAAACAAACAAGTAGATTTTAAATTGCAAACTTTTATATCACTCGGTTATTCAATAATTTTGATGGCGCAAAAATAAACTACGAAGACATTTATTATATTGCTGCAGACAAATAATATGCACTCGAATTTGTTATTCTTTTCTTATAAACACTTTTTATGTGATTTCATCATAACACAATAGTTTATTTTTTCACGATCGTATTTTGTATTTATTCGAATATTATGATTATGATACAATACCGAATAACTTTGATATCATTTTCATAATAAAAGTTCGTTTTTTTTAAATAAAATCCTTTATAACGAACACCAGACAAAGTCGTTTTAAATTCCACAATTTATATTTTAATGCTTATGCGACCAACTAGTCTCAGGTGCACATGATAGAGTGTAAGTATGTACTTTAATATTTGTGAACTGTTACAAAATGCTTACCAGTCAATTGAAAGGGTTGCGTCAACAGCAAATTAAATTCGACGAAAAAAATTATAGTTACGAGGAAGCAGCTGTTTTTCAGATTGTTCTTCAATAAACCGTGAAATACCGCGGATTTAATCTTTATTATTTTATATTTTTATATTTATATCCTTATTTATAATCTTTATATTTACTAACTAGGATGTATTGATATAAATCGACAAATTTCTATTTTTTCAAATGATTATGAAATTTCATCGAAGGATACCGAAAATATCGACTCTATTAAAATTTTAGCTCTCAATTATTGATATATTTTGACGTCATGGATGAAAATTTTTTATTTTTCATTTAAAATAACCTGGAAAAAAATTTTTTAAACTTTAGAATTTTATATCTTGTCTTAATAATACAACAAGTAATTAATCGGCTTGCACAGTTCAGAGCTACGTCAAAAATCTAACGTCCTACAAAAAAGATCTCTTACGATTTTTTGATAAATTTATTTTTTCGGAAATTACTTAGAGTCAAATTTGGGCATGCTCTAAACTGTCAATTTTTCTTTCATCTTCGGTGAAATTATTAATACTTGGAAAGAAAGTAATTATTTATTTTAAATGATATCTAATTTTTACTCTATAATGATGAAAAATTGTCAATTAGTTTCAAGAAATAGCCACACGGATATAAATATCGCGATGGTAATTATCCAGTGGATCGTGAACGTAGTATCGTCGTGAGTACGAAACAATTTCATTATTTTTACGAAACTTCGAATCCTCACTACCCAGGTAGGAAAGAACAACTGGACAAGGCTTGGACCAAGCCTGGGCCAAGTGTCTCCAGCCTTGGGTAAGGCTTGGCACGAGCCTTGGCTGAACATTGGGCCAAGGCTCGGTCCAAGCCTAGAATGATAACTATGTCCCCAAGCCTTGGGAAACCAAAACACAAGGCTTGGGCCGAGTCTTGGGAAACAAATGGCCCAGGGCTCGGACCAAGCCTTGGGGAACTAATTTGCCAGGATTAAAAAAAATGCAAACATTATTAAAAAATTAAATTTGATTTTAATTGTATTCGTGATTTTACGGTTTATTATCAGCTTTATGTTATCGTATCTCGCGATCACACCAGATTACCTTGAAAAAATCTTTGCTCACGATGAGAATCGAACCTGGGTCACCCGCGTGAAAGTCTCGAACTGTACTGACTTCGCTGCACTTCGTAGTAACACTAACAGATTAGTTTTAGTTACTTAAACATCACTCAGTCATTTTGCTTTATTACATGATATTCCATAATTAAAATTGAACTTATAACTGCTAAAAATTTTGTATAGTTCAGATAATATAATTTGTTGACAGAATACAGTTATGAAATGTATTTTTTTTAATTCATTTGATTTTAACGAAATAATTAAATTTTCTATTACCAAAAATAAATACATGATCATAATTCAGTACATCTAAATTAAGAAATTGTCACTTTTAATTTATAGAAAAGTAACTACTTAGTAAAATTTCATTCAATAATTTTTTTTTACGAAATGTTTTTACTATTATTTAAGATAATGAGCCTATAAATAATGAATAATTGAAGCATTTTTTAGCGTTAGATTTTCTTCATAAGAAATTAATATTTTTTATCATTGAAAAAAATTTTTCTATGATTCAATTAAAGCACCAAGCTAGTTTTGAATTTATATTTGGTCCGATAGTAACTTCCCAAGGCTCAATTTGGAAATATCGAACCATTGAGCCAAGTCTCAAGCTAGACCCGGGCCAAGCCTCGGGTGTTAGTGACTTCCCAAAACTATAGTTTCACTGATAGATATATTTGTAGAAGTAATTTGTATATGTATAAGAGAGTGATAAACAAACTTACTTGTTAACAATTTTTTTCAATATTTTTTTTGGAGAGAAATAAACATTTTTAAAATATTCACAATATGTATCAGTATTAAATTTATCATTTTTTATTCACATGGAAAATATTTTTTGAGCAGTTTTGAGAGTTTTATACATTTTTCAGCAACAAAGAAATGATAGTTAAAAATAATCTGTCAACGATTAATAACTATATTTATTAAAATTTTTTTGTTGACAAGTCATTTATTGAATTCTAATAAATTCTTCTATCAGTGTTCGAAGTATTGGGCCAAGTATCGAACCGGGTTTAAGTCCGTGGTGATTTTTCAAGGCTTGGTTGAAATGTATCGAGACATTGGGCCAAGCTTCGGGCCAGGCTTGGGCCAGTGGTGTACCCCAAGGCTCGGCTTAAGAATGTCGAACCATTGGGCTGAGCTTCAGACCAGGCTTCGGCCAGTCGTTATCTCCCAAGGCTTGGTTCCAAAATATTGAACCATTGGGCCAAGCCTCGGACCAGGCTTAGGCCAGTGGTGCACCCCAAGGCTCGGCTTGAGAATGTCGAACTATTGGGCCAAGCCTCGGACCAGGCCTGGGCCACTGGTAACTTACCAAGGCTTGGCAAAGTAACAAATGGTCCAAGGCTGGGCCATTTGTCAGCATTGGCTAACCCTACCTGGGTACTACGATTAAAGTGTACTATAAATTTGTCAATACGTATAGTGATCGTAAAGAAATGTTTCCCTGCTATAACCAAAATTCGTAATTAAGTTACTCGTGAATCTTTATTGTGACAAATAAAATTGATAAAACAATATTTATTTATTACTAGACATAACATGCTCGCTTCGCTCGCCTTTATTCTTTTAAAAATCCCGCCACTATTTTAGTCGACCAATCAACAACCGAATGAAATAGTCACAGAAGTGACGTATAAAACGATACGACATTCGGCCATCAACTTTTTAAAAGAGGATTTTAATTTATATCAACAGCATAATAATATTAAAAGTAATAATTTTAAAGACAAAATATTTACCAATATGAATTATAAATATAGAATTAATTTTTTGTGAAATAATGATACGTACATAGTAAAAAATTTTGCGTCATTGCATCAAAAAATTTTGTGTAAATATTTAACACTTTTTAAGGTTTATTCTCTTAAATCATTAATTTTCATTAATTATTTTAATTGTTCATAACTTTAATCACTCCGCGACAATAGTATAACCCACCCCTCGAATTTTTTTATATTTACTGTAAAACTAAATACAAATAAATAAATTCCTAACGCGCCAGCATTGTTTTCTTGATTCTAGTACTATGGTATATATATATATATATATATATATATATATATATATATATAGTTACGTTTCGATGCTGCTTTGTTACGCAGCGGCGAAGTTATTGGTTTGATAGCGCGACAAAAGTATAACCCATTCGTCTCATTGGCTCAAGCAGCT